ATACCCCATTTTCCATCTCCGACCAAACCACAAAATCACGTCCGCCGCTCTCATGTTTCTCATGCCCACAATCGCCATTTCCGAGCTACCATCACGGTTTAACAACCTCCTCCATCGCCTCTCCAAACACCCAAATTTAGAAGTGAGGAAGTAGGAGATGAATTTGCAAGCAAAATCGCCAAGGCGTTTGGAGTGACATTTTTCTCCTTTGGATAAAAGATGGAACATAATTGTTTGCGATGATGATGTTTTGTTTGAGTGGAGAAAGATGAAAAGATGGAATAAAGTTGAAGAGGAAGATGGCAATACTGTTGAGAGAGAGAAGAGGAAGATGACGGTACTTTTGAGAGAGAGAAAGAGGGTTGCGCTTGTTGTTGTTTTTTGTTTCAGTTTTTTTTCTCTTAAATTGTTTGGTTGTTGGAAACAATAATTAAGACATTTCCCTTCCCAATAATACTCCCAGCGGCGCACCATCACCTTTAGGGTTTCCAAACCTTATCCTTATTTATTCCAAACCGGGTCAGCCTTTAATGGGCTTGTAGACCCAATTCGTTACCTTGTTCACCAATTTGTTTAATTGAAGCTTAATGATAATGAATGAATAGAACAACTCAGTTGGCAAGGTATCATTGGCTCTAACCTTCAGGACACGGGTTCAACCCCTGTTGGGGCTTGGTTTTCTGTTTTTTCTTGATTTCTTTAAGTTTTTATAACAAAGCTTAGTTTAGTTAATCTTTAGTTTTAATTTTAAAACTCAATTAAATGAAGAATATATAATTTCAAATAATTAATTTTTTTTAGGACTTTGTAAATAATTTTGTCAACATTTTTTATATAGTTTAATAAACTTTAGTCTAAAATATTTAGTTTATACATAATAAAATTCAAATAAAAATAATAGAATAGATTCTTTATTTTCTTTCCAAAATTTTCAAGAACAAAAATACCAAGAAATTTTATTTCCATATTTTTTTAAATAATTTTTACTTCATAAATTGTTGTAGTTTTAATTAATTGTTCGATTCGATTTGGTTGTATTGATTGCCTATTTGGAATTTTAATCGCATTGATCCATCCCCATTCGTAAATTTGTACTCCCCATTCCTGAAAGCTCTGTAATAACGTAGAATTTTAATTTCCACAATTTACTATTTTTCTTTATATTGTATAGTAATTAGGCGTGTATGGCAAGATTTAAAATCAATCGCTAGATAACCCTAATGAAAGACAAATTAACTTGAATCAAACACACTTTCACACGCGCAACCCTAGGGTAATCTCGCTTGTTGCCTCGAGAAAAAAGTCATGTCCCTCGAATGTCGAACACTTTAGCAAAGACCCTTGATAAAAAAGATCGTAGTCCCTAACGCGTCTCATAAGTTGCCTTCTATGATTATACGATTGACCCGCGCTTGTCCCTTCACATCCAAAGACAGGGCTTCTTACCAAATCAATGGTAAGATAACAACATCTAAAGGAGGAGGAAAATAACAAAGACATTTTGAGTAGGTAGGACGCTCGTAGTTGCTTGCTCACAAACTAAAACCATTTCCACACTTACACTTTCAAAACATCTTCAAAAAACAAACATCTCTTTAAACTATTTTTAAAACCAACACTTTGTATACATTCTTATAAATATGAGAATCATTACAAATTTTGCCGAAACAAATGCATTTTCAAAATATTTTCAAACTTGCACCAATCACAAACACATTTCTAACAAAGCATTTTCAAAGTGATCAAGCAACTAAGAGCCCGTAGATAACTACGGATGAAAAGGGTGCTAACACCTTCCCTTTTCATAACCTACCCCTCGAACTAAAGAAAATATCTCAAAGGTCTTTCCTGTTCTTTTCACTCTTTCCTTATTGGATAAAAGAAAAGTCGATGGCGACTCTTGCTATCCGTAACAATTGCGATAAAATGCAAAACACCCAAGTCAGCTCTCCCACCGTATTACAGTCATTTATTTGAATTAAAAGTCAAAAAGTACAAAGTTTACCACCAATAACACTTAGCAACAAAGTAATTACAATTTGGAAATGATAAAGGCCTAATGATCCTGGGATGAGCTTGTTTGTTGATCCATGTACTTTAGGAGATGTTTCTTGATGATCTTGGACTAATCAAACTTGGGGTGACATTTGTCTTTTATTCTGATAGGCATACCAATTTTGTTGATAAGGCAATTGCTCTTGATATCTAAGGGACTATGTAGGCATGGTGAAGGGTTGCCCTCTATCTTTGGTATGGATTTTAGGACCAAGTTCATTCGAGTATTTAATGGTTGACCTCCTCCTTCCATAATTTAGAACTTTCTTGAGTTTATTTGTGAGTCCTAGGAAATCAGCTAGCATGGATAATGGTTGGATAAAGGGGAGGTTGAAATAATATTAACTTTATACAAATGTATGTATGAGATGTATGAAAATGCATGGGTATGCAAACAATATTTTTCTATTTTTTAGAGTATGCTAAAGTTTTCATGGAAAATTAATGCAATGCGAGATAAGGATAAAGATGGACTTAAGGATACCTTATACGAGTTATAAATACAAGAGAAATCCTACATGCTAGGGATTATGACTTACAAAAGGGAAATCCTATAGGCTAGGCATTATGATAGAAGAATGGAAACCCTAAACAAAAGATGACCCTTAAGGGTTTGGAGGATAGTTATAAGATGTCCTTCGTCGGGAGGTTCCCTATAAAGGACACAATGTTAAGATAATAACCTACAGGAGGGCTCCTACGAAAGCTTCTAAGTCTTTTCTATCCAAATCCCCACAAGGTGGCTTCTAAGGGTATCATGGGTAACACATAAGGGCGAAGACATAAAGGTCTCCCTTAAGTGGAGCATCTGTGTAGACCAAGACTTTCGTCTTGTAGATCATACATTGTCTCACCATGAGATTTTGTTTTTGGGTGAAGGTCCCTAGAGTCATTGCTCAAATCCAAAGTCCTGTCTTTAAGAGAGGCTAGCCCTTCAAAGATATTTCTAGGAATCTGACCCACTCTATGCAAAGTTGTCACAAAAACACATAGGGATGTTAAACCCCCTACGCCAATAGACAACCCCTTTTCTAAGGTTTTTTGCTACAAATAGATCTCACCAACAAATATAAGATAACATGATAAAATAACATAAATATGATAAATGAGAAACCATAAATAAAACAACAATAAATAAAGAAATAGAAAAATAAATTAACTAAAAAAATTCCAAAAAAATCCTAAAGCTAAAGGTAGGAGGAATTCTAACTTAAGAGGTTTTCCTAGCAGAGTCGTCAGCTATCATAACCGGAAGAAGAAAAAAAAGAGTCACCACTACTACTTTTTATCCTAAAGACGAGAAAGGAACGGAAAACCCTAATTGTTTAGATATTATTGGATTCACTAGTTGATTAGATAAAGGGAAGATGTAAGGCACCCTATTTCTCCCTTGTACTCAAGGGGATCCTTTTTAGCTCTTGGACTTAATGAGAATATTTCTCTATTTAATCATATTTTCACATACAAGAGAAAAAGGGAAATTTGGCTTTTTAGTTAGCGGTCTCGCCTTGGTTTTTGAACCGTGTGCCTGCGTATCCTCTTGTGAAGAAATCAAATTCTTTAGTAGTTCGAAGTGCTTGGTTAGTGTTTTTTTATAGGATTGTGTTAAGTTTCTATTGAATGATTTTAAACTTGCCTGAGTTTGAAAAATGAGTGATGGTAGGGGAAGTTTTTGTATTCGAGTAGAAAGTAATCAGACAAACCTTTATTGAAAAATTCTTTATTTTGAATATATTAGTAGAAACAATTTTTTGATTGGTTAGTTGTTTTAGATTATGGTTTTAATTGAGTTTTTTTGTGAAGAAGAGTTGATTTTTCTTAGAATTAGATTATGCTAGGAGAAGAAATTGATTTTTATTGAGAAATAGTTAATATTTATCCTACTTAAATCGCGCGGGGCGAAGAAATTGATCTTTGTTTGTTTGGTAAGTTTTAAGTGTTTTGATTTGAATAACTAATTGGTAAAGCATTGAGCCAACCAGTTAATTTCTCGAGGTTGTATATCCTATTATTTACGAAAATGTTTGAATTAGTTTTTATTGAAAAAGTGTTTGGATTTATGAACAATATAAGATTTACTTACAAATAGCAGATTTTAGAATTAGTCAGAAAAAGCTTTTAGAGTATGTACAAGTTAGCAGTTAATTAATCTAATTAAAATATTTATATTACTAATCTATTAACTAAACATCTCTTTTTATGTACTCGTGTATATGAATATTTGTCTAAAATAATCTGACTAATTAAATCTCAAATATAAACTAATCTAAATAATTCAAATAATAATTAATACAAGTGCTAAAAGCCCAAAACCAAATTAGAAAAAACTCCACCAACCTAATCTAAATAAACAACCAAATTATGTCCCAGGGGAGGTATGATCCACCTGTTGTATCTATAATTAATGATAAATTTATTGCTTTTGAATTTTTCAAATGGACCATAAAGATTCAATAACCATGTAACACATGGAAAGTGACATTTAAAATGATAAAAATAAAATAAAAATTAAAATAATAAAGGGAACCTGGATCTACCACAAAGAGAGAACACATTTGGAGCATACTCCCTCATGTCACTTCTCGTTTCTACTCTCTTTTACTCCAAGCACATGCTTATCTTCTTATCATCTCATCTTCACAAACCTTTACAAACAAAAATAAAAAACATATAAATTCAAAAGTAAATTTGGGCCAACACGGTGGTGATGATAGTCGGCGGATGAAGTCATTATGGGTGGTGGTTCGGTGATACTCTGTGTTCCAGTTTCGGCATGATCAGGGGATCTTAGGCGACATCTGACAGTGGAAGAATTCGCGATGTCGGCACGACATCAATCTTTGTGGAAAGGCGACATGTAGGTCACATGGAGATTTGTGTTTGTCTTGCAGCGAGGTTGTGCAAGGTGTGTGGCTGCGTGTCGTATCTAAAGACAGAATCAGAGGATGATTGTTCTCGAGGTGGGCAGCAATGGTGACGATGTGGTTCTCGCAGTGTTTGTAAGGTACGTCGCCTCACATCCGAGAGTTAGGAGGGTGGAGCTTCTTCGTTTTTGTGTCGGTGTTTGTTGTGTTGCTTCCAATTTCCGCTTCTTCTTCATTGTTCCTGCGAAAAACATAAATACTTTGTACATATTGTTAGTTCTATATATTTAGGATATGCATTAATTTTAGTAATACAAATATAGCAGCAATATGTTAAATAGGATGTGATTACTTGCTATGAAGAACATGTTGGGAAAGAAGTCTTAATTTATGAAGAACATGTTAGGCAAGAAGTCTTAATTTATGAAGAACATGTTGAGTTGAAGTGTTTCAACATCTAAAGCAACATGTCAGATAAGATGTCCTATGCATGGTCATACGACATTGCGTATGAGCTGGGCTGGACAGTTAGATTATGTTATATTTTAACATATGCATAATATTCTGGGAATATTATTCTATCCTATGTGGCGTTGTTTTATAGGTCTAGAATATTCAAGTCAGAATCAAGAAGAATTTGCACTTTCTAATTATGGAGATAAATTAGGAAGAATATGATTGAAGACCTATTTTGTTGCAGAATCTTCTGCAGATTTGTAACAGCTAATATACTATGATTTGAAGCCCAAATCTAGTTGAAAAAAGCTATAAATAGAATAATATAACCTAGAAGAAGGTACCATCCATAAATGAAAAGATGTAGTTATTATGGTTGAGCCTGTGTACCACTCTCTCTTGAGAGTTGGTATGTGTTCTCACACATAAGCCTTTAGGTAATGAGTTGAGTATTGTTCTTGGAGGAAACTTGTAAGTAACTCCAAGTATTGTTCTTAGTTAAGAGTCTTGGCTAGGTATTGTTTTAGAAATGAGTCTTCTAATATTGTCTTGGAAGTGTGTCTTCTAGTTTATCATCATGGAAGTGTGTCTTCCTATTTTAATCCAATCGTTGTCTGTGATTGATGAGGGAGTTAAGGAGGGTCCCATATCTAGGTGAGTCTTAGATAGAAAGTTAGCATGTGTATTGATTAATTAAGAAGTTGTAAACGGGGGAGTTTAGCTTCGAATTGATACTATTATAATGGACTTTATCCCTGGCTTGGTATGCCCCCAGAGTAGGTGTTGTTGTCACCAAACTGGGTTTACAATTCTAGTGTGTTGTTTATGTTTTTCAGTACTGTTGAAGTGTGTCTTCTAGTTTATCTTCATGGAAGTGTGTCTTCCTGTTTTGATCTAATTGTTTTCTATGATTGATGAGGGAGTTGAGGAGGGACTCATGTCTAGGTGAGTCTTAGACAGAAAGTTAACACGGGTAGTGATTAAGTGAGAAGTTGTAAATAGGTGAGTTTAGCTTCTAATTGATACTATTATAGTAGACTTTATCCCTGGCTTGGTATGCCCCCAGAGTAGGTGTTTTCACTAAACTGGGTTAACAATTATGGTGTGTTGTTTATGTTTTTTAGTATTGTTTTTATATGTTTATACCTTGCCATGTTTGTTTTGGTCGGATTTAGATGTCTTAACATGTCATAGGACATATGAAGTCTGACATACCCGAACTTCAATTGGTATCAGAGAAGATATCATGTTATGTTATGGGTGAGATCCTAGGATGATACTTTCTAGTTCATGAGAAAGGAATGAGGTATCTACTGAAAAGTTGTTTGAACAAGGATGGTTCATATTTTTGATTGAATTGTCCCTTGAAGTGGAGGATGGACTACTCATGGAAGGGTATGTATCGGACCTATCTATTGTTATCAGGCGCGTAGCTTTGGTGGTGAGCTGCTGTGTTAGGTTTCATTTATTTTCAAACCTATGTTGACCTATTGCACCTGGAGTGTGGTGTGTTTGTGCAAGGGTTATTAAGTTTTCCCTGGAAGTTGTTAAGGAGTTTTTGTTTGTTTCGCTGTATCTGATATAAAACTCCTGGTGGTTTGTGTGTCTCTAGTGTTGAGAAAATAGAAAGGCTTATTCCTTTCTAAAGATGCATCTTATAATGATGTGTTACGCAGAAGACATTTTCAATTTGTTTAATGAAGTTTACAAAGATACTTGAGATCTTTCTTAAGTCCACTCATAAAGGCACTTATCAACAAGTTTGGTGAGAATCTGTAGAGAAATTGATCAAGATTAGAGAGAATCTCTGATCATTCACATCTGCATGGTTATTCCTAATTAATAGATAAATTGGGAAAGTGGTGCTTACCCTGTTCTTTGGTGATGATGGTATGGAAGATGGAAGCCTATTGAATACCTTGAAGGTGATCAGGGTAGATTCTAATTTTCTGGGAGAAGTAAAGACTTCAGAACCAATATCAATAATATGTTGATTGGGTATAGGAAATATGTTCTACCAACATCTCATTAGCAATTTGAGAAGAATCTTGTTGGACAAAGGATTGGCTTAGAAGATGCTTTGGGTGCTAAACAAATGTGTATTAATCATATATGTTTGGCACCTTCTCCTGGTTTGGAAGAGGAGGCATCTACGGTGGTATTTGAGTTGGTCAAGAGATGATCAACATGTTGAGTACTTCTTGGTTCAACTTATTTCTGACCCAAGTAAGTAGAAGTGCACAGTCTGAGATTGATTTTCCTTTGGAGGCGTGTTAAAGGTATCTTAACCAAGTCCTTTATATGTGTAGGTAAATCTCAGTCGGCAAGGACAATCTCTCTGGTATCTGAAAGATCCTTCTGATCAAAGGAGCCAGATTTATGGAATCTTGTTTGTGGCCATGAAACAGATTCTGTGTGAGGGGAGTAATGGTGGTATGCACTAAACACATGTTGTCCTTCTTTGATTCTCAGGGTGTTCTTAGCAGTTATAGAGGGGGAGTCACTACTTCTCTGATGTTGGAAGACCTTGAAGAAATGCAAGACATAATGTCTTAACATCTTAGTGTTGAGAAGTTATTTTCTCAACATGTGTGGATGGTGTTTCTCTTAAACATGATGGAGGTTATTTATTCTAACTTGATATTGTCAAGTCTATGAGAATATGGAAATCTTGTTCTATTGTAGTGGAAGAGAAATTCAAGGGCCTGTGTGCATTGGAGACATATCAACCTGAGTTCAGTGGTTGATTGGTGTCTACACTTTTAAGTGTCATCTAATCCACCTAAGATGAGCATTTTAGTTTTTTTCAGGAGCAAGGAGGAGTTGGTAATCCTATTAGGGACCAAAGGATCATGGTTCTTAAGAAAGGAAGTTTGATTATTCTTTCTTGTTATCTGGATGGGAAGGTTCTCCTCATGCTTAAGAATCAATTATGTGGTGTCCTCACATAATAGAACATTTGTGTTTGCAAGGATTAAAGAGCATCCTTGTATCTTGAAAATTTGGGAGAAGCATGCTTAATATGTAGTCTATTTGTGGCTTATAATGACCACTCAATTCCATGTTTGTTGAATTCTGCTCCATATACCTATTAGAGGGAATCTCCTCTTTAGGTGTAGAAGGATGGTGTTCAACTCCTTATTATCAGACATGAGGTCTGGACATTGTGCGTATAAGAGGGAGCTTTTTGAGGTATGAGTGTTCAGCATGTGTTTTGATCTGGTCTGGAAGGTTGATCAACTACTAATGGTTTATCCTCTTTTGTCCCTTGCAAGAATTGTATATGGATTTCCATGGGTACTATCTCCAAAGCCATGGTTAATGGTTAAATCCATGTGATTTAGACAGATGTTAGAACTGATATTGGAACATCATTTCAATTCTTTGCTTCATCATATAAGGAAGTTTGTTTTGCCCAGGGTGGAGTATAAGGTCAATCCACTTATCTGATTTGGAGTAGTTGGTGGCGTAAATGGTTTCCATGACTGTTTTCCATAAAGATGAATCAATTGGTGCCAGATGTGTCCAGAAGAATAATGTCAGACCAAATGTCCTACCTAGTGTGAGAAATAATATCATCTGAATAATGGTAAATACTTTGACGGGAGATGAGTAATTGTTTGCCCTCTGATGAGGATGTGCATGAGACTGATGGTAAATAATTTGATAGAAGTTAGGTATTCATCTAAGTTGTTATAGTAGTATGTCATATGAACAATATTGTAAGTGTTTAGTTATTGGCTACCAAATTTGAGAACCTAAGGATGATGGAAGATGAAACCATTCATGAGTTTCACATGAACATCTTGGAAATTGCCAACACCTCAGGAGCATTGGGAGAAAAGATGTCAGAAGAAAAACTGGTGAGAAAGATTCTCAGATCCTTTCCTAAAAGATTTGCAATGAAGGTAACTGCTATAGAGGAAGCCCAGGACATCAGCAAGTTGAAGGTAGATGAACTCATTGGGTCTCTTCAGACCTTTGAGATGGGGATCAGTGACAATGTTGACAAGAAAAACAAGAGCATAGCACTTGTATCCAACACTGAAGATGAAAACAAGGAGGATGACGAAGAAAATATTTCAGAAGCTATAGCCATGATTGGAAGACAATTCAACAAACTCATCAAGAGAATGGATCCAAAGTCAAGGTCAAATGTTAAGAACATTCCTTCTGACATTAACAGATCTTATGACTCCAGCAGAAGACCAAAGTCTGAAGAGAAGGGAAATCAAAGCAGAGGAATTCAATGCCATGGATGTGAAGGATATGGGCACATTCGAGCTGAATGTCCTACCTTTCTTAAGAAACAAAAGAAAGGAATGTCTGTTACCTGGTCTGACTGTGATTCAGAAAGTAATTCTGAAGAAGAATCTGCCAAACTAGTTACTGCACTAACTGGTGTTTGTACCTCTGAAAGTGACACTAGTGATGAGGAAGTGACCTTTGAAGAACTAGCTGATACCTACAAGAAATTATGTATCAGAAGTGCTGAAGTCTGTCAGCAAAATGAGAGACAAACAAAACTCATAATAAAGTTGGAGGCTGAGAAAAGGGCAGACATTGAAACTATAAGTCATCTAGAAGGGGAAGTTCAAATGCTGAACTCAAAACTGAACCAGATGACCAAATCTGTCAAGATCCTGACAAATGGAACTGACAAATTGGAAGAAATCCTTCAGGTTGGACAAAATGTGGGAAACAAGTCTGGTCTAGGATTTGTGGCAGCAAAGAAATCTGGTGCAGACAAGAAGATCAGGCCTGATAAACAAATGTCAAAGCAGATGTCACAACATAGCACTCAACATCAGGAACAGAGAAATATGAAGAAAAAG